AAAAAAAAAATGTGATGCTAAATGTATGCACAAAAATAATTAAACGTAATCATTATGGTATTTAAAAATGTTTCATTTAAACTTTCAATCAAAAAGTTCAAAGAAAACATATTATTTACTGATTAACTGTAAGGTAACAGAATTTTATTAACAACAATTTAATATAATTAATTATAATCAAGGGATTTCAATGTTTTTATTGATTCCTGTGTTAGTAAAAATTCAAAATCWATTTTCAGAATTAATTTTTGTATTGTTAAATAAAACTAGTTTTTAGAGAAATTTGGAAATAAGTATGTATTTGTGCCAGTCAATTAAACTATATTAAGTTTTGGAMAAAATAATAGAACTTTATTTTATTACAACACACAAATCCTTAGTGCAGATTTGCTGTAATAAATTTATAATTGTATAATATAAAATCCAATTTGTTATATTTAATATATTTACAGCATACATTTGTGTTTGACYAATAATATTATACTATTTTTTGATAATAGTAGTGGTTTATTTTATACAATTTTATATCAATGGAATAGTAACAAACAGAAACAAACCGAAATTCGATCTGTTAGGTGAAAAATGTAAAAGCCTTTCTCCATCAAACGAACAAAAACGGCAATCACTATTTATTTTGTACTAATATACCCATTTCCCATATTGCGTTACGTAATACAATAATAATGGAGCACTTTGAATTTTAGTTTTTATATAAATATCAAGAATGTTTATGACGTTAATGTCGAATAAATTGTACGATAGAATAAAATATTTTTTTTACGAACCTATACCATAATAATGATAATACGGTATACAACTATAGCCTACGTTTTTGTCAATACCAAGGACATTTCCGTGGTGTAAACACGGAATATTTGTGGCATGAAACTTCATTATAAATGATATTTTTACCAGCAGCGTTATGATAGCATTATCCAGTCCAATCTGGTCTACATAGGGGAAAAAATAGGTATCAATTGGTAAAAATTTAAGTTAAAAATTAGGTAATACATCGTTTTCATCTAAATATAATACGTGTGGATAGATTCAATTATTACTATATATTAATATAATATAAACAACTTTACCGTGAAATTGCATCTTTTCGAAATTTAACCTATTAATTTTAGTARATAATAAACTAATGCCTTAATTAATAAATAACACATAATATTATGCATACRTTTACAACGACACGCTTGGTGCGCGATATTGTGTGTGAATGTATTAGTATTTATTACTTGTAAATGGGTAAGGGCCCAAAAATACCTACCCTTTAATATATATATATATATTGATAATTTATGTTTCAATAATCGTTACAAATATGACACAACAATTAATAGATTTAAAACTTAAACGTACCAAAATGCATAAGATAAATAAAAATATGATACTGATAATAATATAAATAGWTAATATTGACAACAARGCATAAAGCAAAATGAGCTTGAACAATGAGCATAGATAAAAAAATCAATGTGTTTTAAGTTTGATAAATGATCACTAATGAGAAAACTCTGAGGAAAAATAATACGAAACTAAAATTAATAATATTGTACAATTACACACACACGTGTACCAAAAACCTACCCAACTTAAAACCCTACAGTACCCTCCCTACACCCAATGGCCTATGTTTCTGCGGGTCAACTAATAAAAATAAAAAATAAAAATATTGTACAATTATGGAACGTTACTTATTTTTTTTTTTGGGCAATGATWATTAATAAAAATCAATTGTTAAGACTTGAGAGTTATTCTAATTATTTTATGTTCAGAGACTATCCTATATTAATATGTACCTACACGATATAAAAAAAAATTAAATAAAAAATCATATTAGATAGCCAATGTTAATAAAATAAAAAACAACAAGTAGGTAAATAGATAACTGTATCAATAAAAATAAAAATTTAAACCGAAATTTATATTAAGGAATAGTTTAATTATTTTTTATTTTATTAAGGCTTCAATTACACAGAATTTTAGCCTACTTTAATCAAAAGTTGACTAAAGGAATATTATATACATTACATTTTAGTATGAATTTTACTAAATTATCATGATTATTTTATACAATGGATAGTTTGAGTTTATATTTAGGAAGAATGTACTGATTGCAGCTGTGTTCTTTTCCTTGAAAGCTTGGTAGTCACAATAGGATTTTTGAGAATTTTGTGTGCTTCGATGTTCTTGGAGCAGGTGATGACAATGTGTTCAATTGATAATGTTACGTTGCAAGTGTCACATATTAGTGCTGGTTCTTTTTGGATGAGATGGATATGAGTTAAGCGAGAATGTCCTATTTTGGAMATTTCGATTCCGGTTGGGTCCCGTACTATGTTGTCATCGGAAGATAAAAATACGGGYGCGATAATGAAACACGCGTGTTGCTCGGACGGGAGTCAAACACTAACTATTAATATTATTTTAGTTGGTTAATATAATAATATATTAATATATTACTTAAAAAATTATAAAATTAAAAGCAATAGTATTATAATTTAATTGAAATTAGAAATAGTAAAKATTAACTTGATATCTCTGTCAATTTGTACTATGTGTGTTGTGTCGTGTGGTAATACAAACTTGTGTTTATTAAAATAAATGAGATACTCTCYTTTATAGTTTTAAATGATATAGGTGGTGAATCATATTTTTGAAAATTCTGAAGTACCTTCATAATTCAATATTCTAATGAGTAGTTTCTTAGTTATTAAAATGTTGGTAAAGGGGATCATAATTATTAAAATATTGTTAACAAAAATATAAAATACATTTGTAATATAAGAACTAGTATTTATTATACTTGCAGGGAAATGAAATTTCAACAAATTATTATAATTTTTATGGATTAATATCAATCACCTAAATTTCCATAGCTTCTTATAYCACAAACCCATTATCGCAGACCTATTTTTAGGAATAAACTACTCGGTAATTTTAACGAATGAATTTTGATTCTGATAACTTAAAATTTACAGAAAAATGATCTTTTTAACAATTTACTGCAGAAAAGAAGAGTTCTCAGTTGAAGTTCAGAAGTTTGTATATCCTTAGGATACTTTTTAAATAATCTAAAAACATATATTTTTTTGCACTTTTGCACCCTTTCCCTTCTATTTTTTTTTTCAAATTCAAATACTAACTAAATTATTATATCACTGCGTTTTATTTGTTGTAGAATAT